ACACACACACACACACAGACACACACACACACAGACACAGACAGACAGACACACACACACACACAGACACACACACACACAGACACAGACAGACAGACACAGACACAGACACAGACACACACACACAGACACACACATACACACACACACATTTATGCTCCTAATCTCTGTTATTATTAATGCATTGTTTTAGTGAAAGTTTGCTGTTGAAGATTGCTGATGTAACAGACTCAGTTTGCGGTGAGAGCTCGTAAGCTCTATTTATATCAGAATCTCCCGTGCTCTTTTTAAACCCATCAAATGCGACGCTGCATTTCACATGATTACGTCTCAGGGTTTGTAGATTAGGGGCCGCAGCGCTCTGAATCCGATACCACCGCAGGTCTTCGAACGGTGCCAAAAAATCCATATGGCCAAAGTCGGCTTAAGTTCAGAAAGTCATTTTTGATGTATTGAGTTGAAAGAAAGCTGCTAGGAACAGTAAACTTTTCAAAAGTTCAAGATCAAAGGATTTGTTTTCTTTTTTTGCTTCTTTCTAGATTTGATAAAGGTGACACTGTGCCGTCAATCACTAACTCTTATCTTTTCTTTAATCCTTTTTGAATATGAAATATATACAATGTTCTTGACTTTTCATGAAAGGATGCAGAGGACACACAGGTTTGCTTTCTTGTATGTGATTGTAAATATAGGGTTTGTAGTTTTGTGTCTTACAAGCTTTTACCATCATCACCATAGTTTCCACCAAAATAATGCTACTCATTTTTTTTCTTAATACAACACTGGGAACTTGATTTATTATTATTAGTATTATTATTATTATTATTATTATTATTATTATTATTATTATTATTGTTGTTGATGGACAACTTTTACAAAAACGTCTTGAAGGAGAAGCTTTATAAAGAAGATACCATATTTTCTGTAAGTTTAGTAACTACTAGTGTGCATAATAATAATAATAATACTAATACTAATAATAATACTAATACTAATAATAATAATAATAATAATAATAATAATAATAAATGGTCATTTAATAATTTAAATAATTTAATAAATAATAAATAAAATATGTATATATTTTTTTCTTATGTGTGTGTTTTATTAAATATAATAATAATGACAACAACAGCAAAATAATAATAATAATAATAATAATAATAATAATAATAAATGGTCATTTAATAATTTAAATAATTTAATAAATAATAAATAAAATTTTATATATATATATATATATATATATATATATAATAATAATAATAATAATAATAATAATAATAATAATAATAATAATAATCTGAAGACTGGTATTTTTGTGGAAGCTGTGTTTACCATGGTAAGTATTTGTGTCACTCTGAGCTACAGGGGCCTCTGATTCCTCACAATATCAGCATGTACAGCTTGCATTGCATTTAAAATCCATTGGTTTTAATTGCATAGTGCCATTAAATGGAAGCTAACTGTGCGTTCTTTGCTAGCTTTTTGTGTCTGTGTCAGGCTCTGACAGTAATGTGTGGTGTAGCTGATCTGAGAACAGCGCTGACACTGAGCTCAATGTCACTAATATCTGCTGTGACTGTTCCAGGACGCTGGGCTTGTTAGTAAAGAGGCTGGAGATGGGCGGGAAGGCGGAGCGGGAGGCTCTGTTCCAGGAGAACGACTGTATCGTCCGGATTAATAACGCAGACCTGCGCAACATCCGATTCGAACAGTAAGCCCCTCTCTGGAGGAGACGCAGAGACCGTCTTCATGCTTGATCCTTTCAACCTCTGTCCTTTCCACACTTTCATGAGCTTTCAGTTTTCCTCAGAGCTTTGAAAGTCTTGCCATCAGCCTTTCATCTCATCTCTCTCCAACTAAACAAAGCAAAACATCTCTGTTTAAAGTTTACAGAAGCTGTTCGTGGCTCAGTTGCAGAAGTAGAGGTTATTGTGAGGTTGATTACAAATCTGTCTTGATTTCCTTGAAGGTTCGTGCAGTGTGATGATAATCTATTAAACTTGAGCTTTTATAGCTCAAAACATCCCCCTCAGTTCAAAATGTCTATTTATTGACATTAACCTGCAAAAACTTTTTCGAAATGTCTGCCATTATTGAATATATGAACTCATGTCCACCCACAATCAGACATGAACTCTTTCCCACATTGAATTTTCCGGCTTTCCGTGATTTCACTGTTATGCGATAGGAGGCGCTATTACACATCTTCTGAAAGAGTATTGTATGTCTAGATCAAAACACGGTGAAGAAGAAGCAGAAACAGTCCATTGCGTGTGTAAGCGGATGCATATGTAAAATAATGTGATCATCAAACATTAAACAGCATATAAATCAAAACTGACTAAAGTTACCGAATGAAATCTCGTCCTAGGAAGTGGTTTAGGACTGAGCAAGCTTTGGCGGTGTTGATGAAAGCGATCGATCGTTCTGAATCCCATCCAGAACAATCCCGTTTTTCTTTCTTATGACATACAGTGGGGGAAAAAAGTATTTAGTCAGCCACCAATTGTGCAAGTTCTCCCACTTAAAAAGATGAGAGAGGCCTGTAATTTTCATCATAGGTATACCTCAACTATGAGAAAATTTTCCGAGGGCCATGAACATTTTATGAAAATTGTCAAAATGCTGGGGTGGTTAGTAGCTAAAAAAAAACACACACTGGTGAGGAAAGAGTTAAAATCACTATGAGCCTTAAAAAAATAAAAATAAAAAAATCTAAAATCTTCTGCGCTAAAAATGTAAGGTATGGGTGTTTTCGATTCTTTGAAGAGAATCGAGAATTGATTCATTTGCGAAACTCTCATGCCCTAGTAAAGAGACAAGAGAATTCTTTTAAAATATTAGAATATATTAAAGATCCCAATTTGAACACTGTGTGAATGTTATAATAAATGTATTAATAGAGCTGTTGTAGGGTCATTATTATTGTCTTACTTTTTTTATTTTATTTTACAGAACAACAGTAAAATTACAATACTAACATTTATGAATGTTGATGGAGTTGTTGCTTTTTCTCGGCTTTTATTTTGTCAGAAACCCGCAGGAAGATCTCAGTGCTTCTTTTTGTTGACAACAGCATGCAGATTTATAAATAATTCTCATTACGAATTTGGGAAGATGTTTGTCGCACTTATCACATTGTCACATGCCTTTAAAAAAATCACAAAAATGTTACTGAGCAACTGACGAGCTGTCGGTGCTTCGTGCTTGTAATGATTGCGTCTTTCTCTGATAGATTTAATACTTTCACGCTGCCGACGTGTTTGCTGCATTAGTGCGTGCCTGTATTTGTTCGCGTTAGTCATTGTTCGGTACATATTATTCAGCCTTTTCGCTTATTCGGACGAAATTTTTATATTTTTTTGCAATTTTCGTCCGAATAATTTCGGTTGCCGAACATTTGGTGCATCCCTACTACAAATGAACTCATGTAAGTGTAAAAGTAGTCTCACTAAGCTAGACCTTCAGAAGGTCTGGACCCTGTTGCAGCTTTCATTGGTCAAGGACCACCCAACAGGCCGTCTGATTGACATGTAAAACAACCAATCACAATATCTTTTGTTCAGCATCATGTTTAGAGGCGTAAAAATATAGTCAATGTGTCTACAATAACAGACTGGCATGCAACCAATAAATTATTAATTCAAGAACTTCATCTTCAGTTATAAGGAGTCCAGGAAATCCTGTAGAATTCGAGCCAATCAGAAGATGACTTCCAAACTCCTGTAGTGTTTCTCATTTTTTATGCATCAGACATTCAGCCAATGGTCTGAGGCTGAGACTGGTGTAAAATTACCCATCTACTCTTAAAAGTACATATTTTCTACCCACCTCTGGTTGTAAGGCATATCACGATACACCTTATCCAATATATCTGTCAGCTCACATATGATCTGCTGTATTTGAGATAGAGCTGTTGTAGGGTCATTATTATTGTCTTACTTTTTTTATTTTATTTTACAGAACAACAGTAAAATTACAATACTAACATTTATGAATGTTGATGGAGTTGTTGCTTTTTCTCGGCTTTTATTTTGTCAGAAACCCGCAGGAAGATCTCAGTGCTTCTTTTTGTTGACAACAGCATGCAGATTTATAAATAATTCTCATTACGAATTTGGGAAGATGTTTGTCGCACTTATCACATTGTCACATGCCTTTAAAAAAATCACAAAAATGTTACTGAGCAACTGACGAGCTGTCGGTGCTTCGTGCTTGTAATGATTGCGTCTTTCTCTGATAGATTTAATACTTTCACGCTGCCGACGTGTTTGCTGCATTAGTGCGTGCCTGTATTTGTTCGCGTTAGTCATTGTTCGGTACATATTATTCAGCCTTTTCGCTTATTCGGACGAAATTTTTATATTTTTTTGCAATTTTCGTCCGAATAATTTCGGTTGCCGAACATTTGGTGCATCCCTACTACAAATGAACTCATGTAAGTGTAAAAGTAGTCTCACTAAGCTAGACCTTCAGAAGGTCTGGACCCTGTTGCAGCTTTCATTGGTCAAGGACCACCCAACAGGCCGTCTGATTGACATGTAAAACAACCAATCACAATATCTTTTGTTCAGCATCATGTTTAGAGGCGTAAAAATATAGTCAATGTGTCTACAATAACAGACTGGCATGCAACCAATAAATTATTAATTCAAGAACTTCATCTTCAGTTATAAGGAGTCCAGGAAATCCTGTAGAATTCGAGCCAATCAGAAGATGACTTCCAAACTCCTGTAGTGTTTCTCATTTTTTATGCATCAGACATTCAGCCAATGGTCTGAGGCTGAGACTGGTGTAAAATTACCCATCTACTCTTAAAAGTACATATTTTCTACCCACCTCTGGTTGTAAGGCATATCACGATACACCTTATCCAATATATCTGTCAGCTCACATATGATCTGCTGTATTTGAGAAATTTGTAAAAAAAAAAAAAACATAGGGCCCTATGATTTCCGTGAGGCAGAAAATGTGGATGGAGTCGTGGAATCTGGTCATAAAAATGGAATTTACTGTATAATGCGGAATGTCACAGAATTTGCCACCTTTTGGATGAATAAATCAAAAGCAGTTCAGTACACTTAAACCAAAACACAATATGGACTAGTGTCAGATGCGCAGTTTTGTTTACTACACTCATACTGGCTTGACGCTCAGTGTTTTCAGCTTCTGCCACCTCAATATATGAGCACATGAACACGTGAATATAATCTCTAGAACTGCTCTGAGAGTCACTTCATGAGCATTTGACCATTTCTTGTGAGAAAAGCTATCATCATATAATATACAAACAGAAACTCAAAGGTCTTCACAGCAATCCGTCAAAATAAAAGTTCTGTTTAACTTGAAGTAATGTTAGTACTACTACTACTAATACAATTATTATTAAATAATTATTTTCAAGGAATATTTACCAGAAAATGATTTACCAGACTTTATTTACCAGAAAAATGTAAACACACAACAGCATTTCTGAATAAACAAACAAACAAATACACAAACAAACAAATAAATACATTTGTTTTTTTAATAAAATCGATTATTTAGAGATTACTTTGATTATTAAAATTTCATGAAACCATTAAAATGGAATACAAAAAAAAACTCATGGAAAACATAATATGGTAAAAAAAAAAAAAAACAGAATTTGAAAAAATATTTTTGTTAAACTTGTAATAAATTGCTGGTAAATTGTGTAAGTTTCATAATTTGAATTCATTAGACATGCTTTTTGATTAATAAAATTTAATTTAACCATTAAACCTGAGTCTAGAAAAATAAAAATAAAAAATAAAAAAATGGAATCCAGAAAAATAAAAATGGGGGGGGGGGGGGGGGGTGTTCGGGGGGAGAAAAAAAAAAATT